TTCTTTTGATGTGGAGAAGCCCATCAGGAATCTCTCTCTCATTCACATCTTCCCATGTTCCCCTGACCCTCTTTCAGTGTAGCTCTGCACCTTCCTGAGGAGGAGTCCCTACACCTCCTCCTGCCGCTCCTCCTGCCCCAGTTATTGCACTGCTCAGTGACCCGGGGACCTTGCATACTGTCCCATCGGAGAGCACAGAATGCAGTCAGACACACCTCAGTTTGAAATGTGGCTCTACCTCTGACCAACTCTGTGACTCTCAGCAGACACTAAACTTCTCTGAGACTTAATTTGCTCATCTGTAAAATGGGCCTCATCCAGTTTCTTCCTTGCGGGGCTGAGGTGAGAATTAAATGAGGCGATGCTTATCAAGTGTAGAGTACAGTTTCTGTAACCATGGCACTCATATGTGTTTGCAAGTATTCAGTTTGGCTAAAAATGTAAGACTTTGCCAAGGTACCTGTGGGGAAGGGGAAAATTTACGTTTCCCTCCACTGGTTCTTTTTGGCTGGCCAGATAAGCAAATCAACAGGAGGCAGATGGACAAGAGAAAATCAGATTTAATCTCATGCCCATGGGAGCCCTATATGCAGGGAAGGTTGAGAGATAGAAAGGGGGGTCGAGGTATATAAGACATTCTGAGCTGGGGATGAGGTGAGGGGCCTTGTGGCCTCAGAAGGTCGCTGTAGGATGATAAGAAGAGCAGGCAGGCATTCAGTAATTAGTACTTCCCCTGCGCTTTAGACAGGTGAAGAGAAGTTATCTCTGATCATCTGTTATGAGCAAGGCCGCTAGTTCCTCTTCTAGGTAGTGTAGGGGGTTCGGGGGGAGGCAGAAGTTTCTCCAGCCTGAAGCTAAAATGGCCTTTAGCTGAAATAATCTGCAGAGCACTAGTTCCAGACCCGCACGTCCCCAAGAGGAAGTAATTCTAAAATAGGAAACGGCTACGATCCAATTCCAGGATAGTCTGAAAACTAAACTTTCAGTTCTTTCCTGGTAGGACAGGTTATCTTTTTAGCAGATGCTGCCCCCTTCCTGCCCGGTCTTAGACAGAGCCTATCAGAGGTGCCTTCCAAGTGGAGCAGTCCGGCTCCTAGTCTGATTTCTTATAAACAAGAGTTCGTCTTGCTTCTCTTGATCAGGAAACTTTAAAGCACTTTTCTAGTCATCTACTCTAACTTCCACATCGCATCCACACTCCTTTTTCAGGGACCATGCCGTCTTTATCAGTGTTCCCAATTTGTTAGTCACTTTGTTTCTGATGTCACTAGCTAGTGAATATTAACAATAGGAAAGAAGCAAAGTGGAGGCCAGGCATTGTAAACATGGTCATCGGGGCAGCTTTCCCAGGAAGCTGCAGTTTCACACTCCCCAGGGAACCACCTGTCCATTCCCTGCAGATCCTGGGGGAAGGGAAATGGACACAGGGGCAGTGAAGTCTCCGTGAGGTAGGGAAGGTGCTTGCCTGTCCCTCTAACCTAGGAACAAAGATCATTGGCCAGGAGGGTGCACCCCGGTGTGAACCCGTGAAAATTGGGGATACATATCCACAGACAAAGAGTTCTCTCTGCTGCTTGTAATCCTGTTTCTTGTTTGCTCCGTGACCTGCCCAGCCTGTCATGTGGCTCCCACGTGATAGACGAGCTGGGAACACGCACGAAGTTAGCTGAACTGGCCTGTGATTTCATATGGACACTGGCTTTCATCCCAGCTCTTCTGAGGACAAAATGGGACCTTGGGAACCAGGGGTTTAATTCCAAGAAATAAAGCTTTCCACCATCCTCATCCTCCCGGGGGGGTCCTCAGGAAGGTCTTACTCCAGCGGCACCCCAGAAGCTACTTCCATGGACAGAGAACACCCCACTGGTGGTAACTTTATTTTCTCTTCTTTTAAATGGAAAGTGGGTACTTTTAGATCAGGAATGGCAGTATATTTTTTTCTGGTGCTGGTTCCAAGTCCTTTTTATTGACATAGGATTCACAGACTGACCCAGAAAAATCAATCAGTTAATCAGCTGGCATAATAGAAAGGTCATGGGTTTTTAAGGCAGACCTGGATTTAAATCTTGACTCTTACTTAACCAGCCGAGTGGCCGTAGATGAATTACTTAACCTCTCTTACCTCCTAATTTTCTCATCAGTGAGATGAAATTTCAGGGCTCAAATGTGATGTAAAGTAAATTTACTGGGCACATACAGCACATTTTAACTTGCTTACCAAATGAGATTTGCCTGGCCCTTCCTATTATCAACTAGAGGCCCAGTGCACAAAATTTATGCACTCGGGTCGAAGGGGAGGGGGGGAGCCCTAACCCGGCCTGAACCCTCTCACAGACCTGGAGCTTGCAGTCGGACATCCTTAGTGCTGCTGCGGAGGAGGAGGCGGGAGAGGCTCCCGCCACCGCTGCTGCACTCACCAGCTGTGAGCCAGGGAGCCGGGCTTCTGCCTGAGCGGCGCTCCCCCTGTGGGAGTGTACTGACCACAAGGGGGCAGCTCCTGCATTGAGTGTCTGCTCCCTGGTGGTCAGTGTGCATCATAGTGACTGGTCATTCCGCTGTTTGGTTGATTTGCCTGGAGGTCCTGACTTCTGCAGTGGAGACACTGGTCCAGGGTTTTAACAGGTAGCTCTCTTCCTAGGAGTTGAAATAAATGGCTTCTGCCATTTTAGTGTCTTAGGACAGCACTGCTCACACCCACCTCCCTCTTTCCCAGAGTCTGAAGCATTCACACTTTTCCTTACACACATGGGCCAGTGTTCCATGAATTCTGTTCTGTAGACGTTTGAAGACAGGAACATGATCTTCCTCATCTCAGCCTGTCTATCACCAGGGCCCCTGGGTTGTGGGGCCAGAATCCAAATGCAGGGACCGGCAGTATTACACAGTGATCAATACTGTCGACTAGAGGAGCGTTGTGTCTGACATCCTCCTGTGATCTTGGGCCAGTGACTTAACCTTCCACCTGGGTTTCCTAATTTATACGATGGTTTTACAGTTAGCACAGGCGAGGTTCTATAGACGAGGTTCTGTGACAGTAACACATAATCCTCAGAATCGCAGCGGCTGAAGGTCCTTGAAGGTGTATTTTTTATCTCCTGGGGTGTGTGGTCCTCACTCTGGCCCCTGGCTGGGACAGCAGCGCCATCCTGAATGTCGTCATTCCCCAGGTCAAGAGAGAGAGAGCTTCGTGGGTGGAAGGGATGATAATTCAGTGTTGGCCCTGACCTGTCACACACCAGGTGTGCTCATGACTTATCAGCCAGTGGGAGTAGCAGGCCTTATCTAACTTCAGCCACAGCAAGGATGCTCCTGGAAGAGGGAAGCTTAGGGGTAGTTGTTGGTTTGCATTAATGACAGCTATTGAGAAAGATAATATTTGACTTTTCATGATTGTTCTGATTGTTAGATACATGAGAGTTTAGTATGATGCGTAACGCATGGTAATTGCTCAATCAACAGTAGAAGGAACTGTTAACATGATTGAAGATCAGAATTCAGCATTTGATTACATTTCCAGCATACTTTACACCACCCATTTGCTTAGCATGTGTCTCCTCTTCTTTTTTCTTCTTGAAAATACAAAAGTAGATTTAAGTTGCTCCTCCTTAGATATATATCAGAAATTCTTAATGAACGAAGTTGAGTTACTGAAGTTTTAGACCCAGTCAGCGACCCTGTTCTTCCAAGTTTAGGGTTGAAAAACACAGGTGATATTGATCACCTTGTGGATGGCAGCTCAGAGTTAGCAGGGCTTTAGAACTATGTTCACTGTGCTAGTTTGCAATTTAAGAGCAACTGAATGCAGCCGGCTTCCATTGGAGGCCGTGCAAAAGCAGTCGATGTGTTTATGTGTCTGTGAAGCTGGTCCCTGGATCAATTGCAATTAGTTTGCAGCAGATTGCATTAAAATATCTAAAATTAATACAGTGAGTGTTCTGATGAAAAGGCATCGACTGTGACCACACTGTGGCTGTTTTTAGTCTCTCTCAAATGTTCTTTTCAAACCGTATTTTTCTTCATCTTCTGCTAACTGCTTTAAATGCGTCTGTCAACATAGACTTAATCTATTGATCCTTCCCCACTTGCCTTTTTAAAGTAGTCCCAGAATAGAGCATATATCCTATATAATTAAAGGCCAGCGACCGAAACGGTGGAACGACCAGAACGACCAGAGACCAGAACACCATGGCCCCTGGCCCAGGCTGGCCCCATCCCCCAGGGAGCAGTTAGGGGCGCCCCTAGGCAATGTGATAGGGTGCGAGTTTGATGGGGGAAAGTCGAAGAAATAGGGGGAAGGTCTTAAGGGTCTGCAGGGTTGGGGTGGTCGACCCGGAGTAGGTTTGGAGTGTGCTGGGGAAGGAAGAGGAAGACCTGGCCAGGGTG